TGAGTATGTGTTACAACGTAGCCTTAACTTACCTATTCATTACATTACGGTCCTAGCTTACCTAAAATTACAAAACTCAAGAGCCCAATTCATTGGCCTTTCGGCACCCACCCCACCACCTACGTAATGCCTTGGGCTCCGACCTAATAATAATAATGTAAAACTTAATAATTAACCTACCTATCGATACACTTACAGCGTTTTAATTTACAAGATTGTTCCTAGAATTACATTATTGCCCTTAACTACCTATGAAATTAAATTACTCTCAACCTTAGTAATAATAAATTAGAATGTGTAATGAAAATAAAATAACGCTCAAATACTAACATATGTGTTTATGTATGTATTTGTGCGTGTGTGTAATACGCTGATGCGTGTAATGTGGGTGCAAGAAAAAAAATAGAAGCGATAAACTTACGCGCCTACCTATTCAACTACATTAGTGTTGGATGCTTCCTATCTATCTTACCTACAATTAAAATTATGCCTATCTAACCTACCTATATAGCTACGTAATGTAATTGTGTGTATGTGTGTGTGCGTGTGAGCATTCTTACTTAATGTTAAATTAGAGAAAAACAGAGAATAAAGAATAAAACGTATCCCAGCCAGGCGTGTATTCATTGCCACTGAATGAATGAACGTGGCCTGACATCTTCCATGATGAACTCCTCTGGAAGCTTCAACCTGAATGAAATAAAAAAAATGAAAAAATTTTATTTATTTAATTAATTTAAATAAAAATAGAGAAACGAGCCAGCCGGAAAAGCCAGCCAACTGGCAAAGAAAGGAACCGCAAAGAAACCGTAAAACGAACCAAAGCCAGGCGTGCATTCTTTGCCACTGAATGAACGAACGTAGCGTGACATCACAACCATTCTGATCATCAACAATGGACTCCTCTGGAAGCTTAAACCTGAATGAATGAATCTGAATGAACCTAAATGAATGGAAAAATCTTATTTATTTAATTAAAACGAAAATAGAGAAACGCAAAGAAGCCGACCGGTCGGCAAAGAAAAGAACCTCAAAGAAAGGTATCTATATAACTCTATATAACTCTATATAACTCTATATAACTCTATATAACTCTATATAACTCTATATAACTCTATATAACTCTATATAACTCTATATAACTCTATATAACTCTATATAACTCTATATAACTCTATATAACTCTATATAACTCTATATAACATGCATACTACCACATTCAATCAATAAAAATCCCACTAAAACCAGGAACCACCGCGCACCTGTTAAATGTATGGTGTGAAACAAAACAAACAAAAAACACACCACCAAGTAGAGTAAAAGAATAAAGTCCCTAACCTACCTATGTAACTAAATTACCTTATGCCCTAGCCTACCTATATAATAAATTAATTTTTTGTCTCACCTACCTATGTTTCATTAACTTAACTCAAGACTCATGAAGAAAGAGAAAAAAGAGTAAAACAGAACATAAAATACTACCACATAAACAAACATGATGTATGTATGTATGTATGTACGAGCAACCGCTATAGAACCCACCTAAAATATAAAAAAATACAACATACAAACACACAAACCACAGACATGCGAACTCTATATAACTCTATATAATAAAATAAATAAAAATAAAAAATTATAAAAATAAAATAAATGAGATCAGACAGACTGCTTCAAGCGAGGCAGAATGCCTGATCTGATTTTCGTGTTGTCTCAGCTCCTATTTATACTCGTTTCAACCATACATTTTCATCATTTCAATAATTGACATCAGTAAAAAACTTATTTAATATATGTAGTACACTATTATACAGTCTTAACCACAATGCTAACCGTACTAAATTGACGTCATCGAACGAACGCCTTCGAAACTTTCTGATTGGCTGGTTGAATCTGCTATATTGCTTTTTATATAAACATATAATCTTATTAATTATTTGTATACATGGATTCTAGTCACTTAAAATAAATTCATAATAAAAGCAACAGTGATCAGTGCTATATATGTACGCACGCAGTTCAAATTTTTCGGGGAGAATTCAAAATAGTTTGAGACCACACCTTGCTTAACATCCGATTCCAAGCCGAGCCAAGCTGAGCCAATATGCTTAGATTTATAAGCGCTTTTATATTAAAATTTTGCTCGCTTTATTTATATATATATATATATATATATATATATATATTATACAAATTCATTATAAAAGCAACAGTTATCAGTGCTACATATGTACGCATGCAGTTCAAATTTTTCGGGGAGAAATCAAAATAGTCTGAGACCACACCTTGCTTAACATCCAATTCCAAGCCGAGCCAAGCTTAGCCAATATGCATAGATTTATAAGCGCTTTTATATTAAAGTTTTGCTCGCTTTATATATATATATATATATATATATATATATATATATATATATTATACAAATTCATTATAAAAGCAACAGTTATCAGTGCTACATATGTACGCATGCAGTTCAAATTTTTCGGGGAGAATTCAAAATAGTCTGAGACCACACCTTGCTTAACATCCAATTCCAAGCCGAGCCAAGCTGAGCCAAGATGCTTAGATTTATAAGCGCTTTTATATTAAAATTTTGCTCGCTTTATATACGAATATCCCAATATAACAAATTCTCCATCCTATTTTAAAAAATTTTTTTGATGCTTTTTAATCAGTTAGGTCACAAAAATCATTATCGATATCGCGATGAAATTTTTTAAAAATTGTTGATAAAAGTTGTAGTAAGAAGTTTAAATTTTTCTGAGAGAATTCAAAATAAATTGAGACTACACCATAACACAATTGTACAATTTGAATGTGTAAATATAACATTATTAATGTATTATAACTACGTATATGTCTATCTATCTATTTCTTTATTTAGTTTTGCCTGCGTTTGATATTATTTGGTCAAATTTATTTGATAGGAATTGAATAAAACCTTTATAGCGGCTGATTAACTACCATGCAGTTAAATAACTACTGTTAACATGACGTCATTTCCTCCAACGATTTCGCAACGAATTACCCATCCTATTTAATAAATTTTATTTGATGTTTTTTAATTAGTCAGGTCACAATCATCATCATCATCGATCGTCTTCTTGTTCTCGCTTCTTCTTAACACGTGTCAAACATTCTTTTGCCAAATCTGCTTTTGCTTTTTCTGGCCCTTTTTTCTGGAACTCTCTACCTACTTCTCTGACTACTTCTCCATCACTTACGAAGTTCAGAGCGGATCTCAAGACCCATCTGTTTTCAAAATTCATTGAGGAGCGCTGTTGAACATCGCGGAAATAGCGCTTTACAAGCTAATTGATTGATTGATCGATCGATATCGCAATGAAACCAAAGGGAGAATTTTTTTAAATTTTTGAAAAAAGTATCTTTAATCGTTTTATGATACTACTTTGTTCAATAAGATACTGTTTGATACATATAACTAGAATCCTCGAGCCACATCACATATTTCTGTGTATATATATAATTATATATATATATTTATTTATTTATATATATCAACTTTTATTATGTATATATATTATGTATATATTTTAGATCTTAAAATTTATATAATATAGATAGCAAGCCATAAGATCCAACCACTGAATTAGAGATAAGAATTGAGCTATATTGCAGGGCTTGAAGGAGCTATTTTCAGTCCTTT